TATAATCAGTGCTATAGCACTTAAATTTCTTATATTATTGCTACTTCTGTCTCTTTACTTAATATGTATTCAAATTTTTATTATTCTTATGCCCCTAAAATGATTTGAGAACGTTTGATGCCTTCTTTTACAAAATAATTTCATATCTCTGCAAGAGGGGATCTTTTTTTTAACCAAAGCATATTCTTCTGATAAAACTATTCATCATCGGTTTGTTGCTCCCGCGATAAAGACATTATCTGTCTGCCTGTCTGTCTGTATGTCCGTCTTTATTCCTGTTATTCCCTCTTGGAGCGTAGGGCATTCGTGAAATGCTTCGTTTCACTTCAGTTTCTTGGACTCCCTGGATGAGGGTTCAACCCATAGCAATGCCTCTGTCTACACATAAACTCAGACTGGCATTGATGCTTTGAGCGGGATTTGAACCCACGATCCCAGTGTTCGAGTGAGTGAAGACAATTCATGCCTTAGGCCACACGGCCACTGTGATCGGTGTAAAGACATAAAGTTGCCTAATGCCATCTTTTGTAATTTACTTGCACCATTTGAAATAATGAAGTCCTCAGGAAGCCACTAGTAACACCATCTGGTTCCAGCCACATGGCATCATCTCTGTAACTGCTTGTGTACAGATCCTTGTAATACAGAAATGGTCTCAGCTCTTTAAAACAGATTGTGCGTGCAGTATGAGTGTACAGATAGTTTAATTAAGATTCCATTCTTCTGGGATGTGCGACCATACAGTCTGGTTGATAGGTACCACTTCTACCATGAGGTCCCCCTGTGATGATCTCATATCCCGTGCAGTCCGGGTTTATGTACGTACTGTGAGTCAGATTCTGGCTAGAGAGGAAAACCTAGTGATTTAGAGTTTGTAAACAACTACAATGCATTTATTGTGGTTTAATATTTTTTATTCTACAGGGTAAAGCTGGTCGTAGGTGAACTCTCTCACACAGTCGTTAGATATCTCGAGCAAGGCATCCTGCAGCGCCTTCTCTATAGGGTGCTGGAGTTCCTTCAGGACCTGTTTGAAGTTGGCGTTGATGGCGGAGTTCACGGCGTTTCCTGCGAACAGAATGGTCTTGTAACCATGGCGACAAGCAACAGTACCTACCGTAAGTCACATTAATTATTACCTGCATGTATGACTTATAAGGGGCACTGTGCTACAAGCCGGAAGGTTGCAGCTTCAATTCCCGAGGAGGTCATTGGATTTTTCAATCAACCTAACCCTTCCAGCTGCACCATGACCCTGGGGTCGACTCAACCTCTAACAGAAGTGAGTACCAGGAATCACCCTGGTGGTAAAGGGCAACTGGCTGGCATATAAGGCTGAGAGCCTCACCGCCATCTGTGAGCCAGTTGTCTACAGAATGAGGGAGCCTCGATGACATGTCACAGGGATCTTTGAGAAACTGTACAGCTTTTGTTAACCCATTCCAGCTGAAGAGATTGGCGTGTAGTGTAGCATTTCTGTCAGCAGGTGGCACCACTAAAGTTCATAATACTACAGTACTGCATGACACGGTTTGGCAGTTAAAGCCAGCGCAACTGGTAGTATGGCAGTTTGTCCATGTCATGAAGAAAAGGTGCTCCTGTTTCTATGAAACGTGGTAATAAATAACTGCAGCAAGAGTAATGCATTTGCCATGCCTAGCATTGTAGACATGAACATCTAGAGTTAAGTTCTCTGAAACAAAATTACATACCACATTCGGTGAGTCGTCTTATGAAACTAATGTTCAGAACGAGAGTATACACCGCAGTACAAGCACAGGAGCAGAATGGGGGGGGGATATACACCGCAGTACAAGCACAGGA